GACGTGGAAATTTGGAGACGTGGGAATTTGGGGGCGTAGGGATTTGGGGGCGTGGAGATTTGGGGCGTGGGAATTTGAAGACGTAGGAATTTGGGGGCGTGGGAATTTGGGAACGTGGAAATTTGGGAAATTACAACCATGAAGAACTGAACTTTCACCACATCCAAATATCCAAATCTAAAAATCCCAAACTCCCACAACTACAACATAAACTTCAAACTACATCAAATTCCTCCAAGCCACCGCACCTGTACATCAAATATCATTTCACCAGATCCCACGATCGCCGGTTTCATCACGCCTCAGAAGCGCAAAGGAGCATAACTCTCACAGGTCTCGCATGTCCAGATTCGTGTCGGTTTCTCTACCGCAATATTCGCGTCGCAGTTCACGCTCTGCCGATCATCGCGCGGTTTCTCGATCTGTTAGGCTAAAAATCCGCAAGACGCTCACCTAGACGACACGCAGGCCATGTTCCCAGGTTGTGTCGGCTCGCTGAACCATAACTCGACGCCGAGATTGAAGTGGGTGCGGGAGAGAACTTCCTCGATCTTATGGCTGTGCACGAGCACGTGCGCACGGAATAGGACCGAAGTGCCGAGTGTCACCTCCTCGTTTCTGTAGAGGATCTGAAAGCGCTTGCTCGTCCCGGGTGCCTCCAACGAGTCTGCAACAATGAACAGATTGCGTCTTCTGGATCTCGTTCTTCTCGAGTGCAACGCGAGAGATGCATTCTGGAAAGACGCTGCGTGTCTGCAGCGTGATTGCTTGGATAGGTGTGTACCGAGAATCGGAACTGCGTGATGGGGGATATCTGTTATCGATTATTGACGGGTTATGGATGGCTTTCGTTATACGGGGTGTATCATGTGAATCGAGGTGTATTTTCAAGTTTTTATGTTCTTCGATGTTAAGAATAATAGGCAAAACCCTAAATTCCCAAATCGTCAAATTTTCAAATCCCCAAATCCTAAATTCAAAATTTTTTGAACCCCTAAGTTCCTACGTTTCCAAATTCCCCACGTCCCCAAATTCCCACGCCCTCAAATTCCCACGCCCCCAAATTTCCACGCACCCAAAATCCCATGTCCCCAAATCCCTACGTCTCCAAATCCTTACGTCCCTAAATCCTCACGTCCCCATATCTCCACGTCCCTAAATTCCCCACGTCCCCAAAATCCTATATCCCCAAATCCCCACGTCCCTAAATCTCCACATCCATTTCATCTCACCTCCTATTACCCACACTACAATCTCATAATTCTAACCTCCTACAAACTCGATAAATTCCCAAATTCTCAAGTTCCCAAAAAAGAACTACAAAAACTCAAAAACCATCACTCACATATTTCTTAACAATTCCCCACCTTGCTATTACAGCATTACAGTACAACAATCTGAAATGAACATCCTTCCTCAAAACGCACAGACATTTTAAACACTTCCATTTACAATGGAAGTCGCACCATCAAACGTCTTCCACGAAACGACAAAAAGGTCCCATGGCGCGGTACGATTCAACTAACCGAACAAAATCGGTCAACGAACGGACAGTTAAGGGTAAAGAAAGAAAAGATCGTGCCTTTTCAGACGAGTGTAGCCTCATTAGAGAGACTGATCCGGTTTTTCTTTCTTTTTGCCGAGAATTCTGTCCGTTTGGAGGCCAGCTCATCCCGTGAACCGACGAGACGGCCAGAGAAACGACTGGAGTGGGGCTGAACGCGCGATAAAAGCTGACAGAGCTGTCCACACAATTCTCCACGCTCCGATATCTCCACGCTCCGATATCTCCACGCTCCGATATCTCCACGCTCCGATATCTCCACGCTCCGATATCTCCACGCTCCGATATCTCCACGCTCCGATATCTCCACGCTCCGATATCTCCACGCTCCGATATCTCCACGCTCCGATATCTCCACGCTCCGATATCTCCACGCTCCGATATCTCCACGCTCCGATATCTCCACGCTCCGATATCTCCACGCTCCGATATCTCCACGCTCCGATATCTCCACGCTCCGATATCTCCACGCTCCGATATCTCCACGCTCCGATATCTCCACGCTCCGATATCTCCACGCTCCGATATCTCCACGCTCCGATATCTCCACGCTCCGATATCTCCACGCTCCGATATCTCCACGCTCCGATATCTCCACGCTCCGATATCTCCACGCTCCGATATCTCCACGCTCCGATATCTCCACGCTCCGATATCTCCACGCTCCGATATCTCCACGCTCCGATATCTCCACGCTCCGATATCTCCACGCTCCGATATCTCCACGCTCCGATATCTCCACGCTCCGATATCTCCACGCCCCGATATCTCCACGCCCCGATATCTCCACGCCCCGATATCTCCACGCCCCGATATCTCCACGTCCCAATACCTCCACGCCCCGATATCTCCACGTCCCCAATTTCCCACGCCCCCAAATCTCCACGCCCCCATATCTCCACGCCTCCAAATTTCCACGCCTCCAAATTTCCACGCCTCCAAATCTCCACGTCCCTAAATCCCCACGCCTCCAAATCCCCACGTCCCCAAATTCCCATGTCCCCAAATTTCCAAACTCCCAAATCCCCAAATCCCCAAATCCCCAAATTCCAATTTCCCATCCCCCAAATTCCAAAACCCCCAACTTCCCAAATTTCCAAACCAACCCTCCAAATTCTCAACTTTCGATCCCCTAAAGTGTCCACTTCTTTCCATTACTACCCTTAAAATGCAATCCGAATGAATAAAACATGCACGACTATTACCGTCCATCACCCCATAAATTCGCGGAGTTTCATCGAAATGTATGAGGCTGATGGCACAATTTAATGCACTGTATAATTTGGTTTTATCGTCGAAATTTATTACCCGATCCGACCTAACCTGATTCGAGAAAAGTTTTTGTAACGATAGAGAGGTTAATCTTTGTAGTATTTCTTGTGATAGCAAGTTGCTTGAGAGTTTAATGTACGACGGTAGAAGAGGTTCGACGTGCAGCGACGTTCCTCGAAGTTTCTAATGCAATCGACGACCGAGTGTGCCTCGGTTTGAACTAGTTCCGCCATTGTCTAACTGGGAACCAGTAAGTGAATTCAGCGGAGTTTTCTGGTGGCACGAGTGCAATGTACCCGAGAACTTTCCTACTTCTGCAGAGGAACAACGGGAAAGTTTCTTGAAAGGCTGGACACACGTCCCGAGGGACATAATTGATGGAAAGTCGATTGCTTTTGATTGTTCTACACCTTTCGTGGTCGGGGAAATGGGGTTACATGTTGTAGCACTGTTCCACGTTTGTGCGGGATGAAACTTTTGGTTTACTCGGTGCTTCGAATTTAGACGGTTCTTCTATGAATATCAATTTTTGAAAAATTTGAACTCTTGGAAGATTGACTGCAAAAGTGATATACATATTATAGTATACTAATTATAAATTTTAATTGTAAATTTAATTATAAATTTATAAACATTGAGAACCTTTAACAGACTTTAATAAAAAGACTCTTATAAACGACAGATTTAATAAAAAATTAAATAGCAAAAATTGAAAATGAAGTAAATTTTCAAACACGATATAAAATCTAAAATATGAAGATATTAAAAACGATACCACAGGAAGTACTAGCGATGAAATAGGTTATATGAACTAGGTGCGTGAGTCTATTGGATTGACCTTGACCGGATACCGTCGAGGTGAAAAAATGGAAAAAGAAGGCATAATCGATACTTTCAAAAGTAAGAAGAAAAATAGGTACAGAGTAAAATATCCCGCGTTTTAACTACAAAAGTTGCACCCAAAGTATCTTATAGCTATAGCACATAGATATTGATATTAGGTTCGATAAAATTCTGAACTTTTTATGATTTTATTTGACATTTCAACCATTTTGGCTGAGAGATTGTACTTTGTTAGAAAAGTTCATTCTATGGTCTTGAGAAGAAAGTAGATTACGATGATTACTACATAGTGTGCTTACAAAAATTTTTTTCTACAGAAAATAGCAGTTTGATGTAGCAGTTTTATGAAGGTATATTCATATTTATGTTAGGTATATTCACAGTGGATTAGGTAGAGTATCTACTCTATTAGGTTAGGTAAAAACTAGGTTAGGTAAAGAGTAGATTTATGTAAGGTTAAATAAGGTTCAGATCAAGTTAGGTTATATTAAGTCTAGGTTAGGTAAACATTAGACAAGATTAAACTGAATATATTCATGTGAGGTTAGGTCAAATTTAGGTCAGGTTAAGTGAACATCAAATCAAGTTACACCTGTTCATATTAAGTTAAGTAGATGTCACATCAAGATAGGTTACATATGTTCATATATAGATGATACTAGGTTAGGTTAGACATATAAAACATTAAATAGAAATTAGATCAGACTGGATGTTCTCATGCTAGGTTAGGTACAGATTAAACTAGGTTAAGTTCAAGGAGGTACATTCATATAAGTTCAAGGAAGCATTGTTCAGGTTAAGTCAAACTACTCACATGATGTTAGATATTATCACATCAAATCATACACATCATCCACGATCATCTGATGTGTTACATCAATGTAACTCGCATCATCTGACATTCAGTCGCTCTAACCACTGCAGTCTCTGCAGTCCTTCATCAAAACCATCAGTACGAAAATATGCATCACGATTATACTTGTAAACACGAAATGTACAATGCGTGAAGTGCACAAACGCAATCGTAAGCGAAGGGGTAAAAATGCAATAAACGAGGGCTACTCACGATTGCGCAGCTGGTTAACCTCCACCTTGACAGGCAGTTTCGGCGACACTCTGAGGGCGGTGCGGATCTGGTAATACCTGTGAAATTGGAAATCGTCGATGAGCCAGGGGGCTGAGCCGTCGCAATTACGAGCGTCGAAAGCCGATCCGCTTACCCACGCTGGAACAGGTCGACATTGTAGAACTTGCAAAGCTCGAGGGAGAACTCGAGTGTGGCCTGTAGATCGCTCATCTCGATCCAGCCGCGATGCCAACAGCCCACCCTCCTCGCCCGGTTTCAGCCTCTCGCGAAGCTTCTTCTCTAATCGAACGAAGACCAGCTTCGTCTGTCGCCACGATTTACGAGCGTTGAGCACTGTTCAAGGCCTGCTCGAGCATCCTGGCTCGATCCTGCCATCCTGCACGTGGAACAGCTTCAGAGTCGACGGCACCCTGGACACACAATTTCAAACGCGTTCCAATCGATCGGATACTCGAAGAAGAAAAAAAAAACGCTTGAATCGCGTCCAAAAGGTGCTTGAACCGACGCGATCGCACGAGTGGATAAAGATGTATTGTCGGAGAGGATCGAGCTTTTCACGTCCCTCTGCTGACAAATAGAGTACACAGAATGTGGGTTTCCAAGTTTTTTAACGATCCAAATACAACGATCGGCCTGCAAACTTTCGCTGTACGTACACGTTCTCCTAAACTTTTTCGAGTTTTGGAACTCTTTTTAGTTTCTGTGGAGGTGGAGAGTTTTTAGGTATTGAAGTTTCGTTTTAAAGATGGGGTCTTTATGTGAGTAGGTGATATGGATTAAGTAGATATTACCCTTTTGTAAATCATCAAGGCCATAATATTTATATATTGTGAACTTTCTGTACTCTTATATTTGCAAATTTTAATATTTCCGAATACCTCAAATCCCAAATTTTCCCACGTTCCCAAATTTCCACATACCCAAATTCCCACATTTCCAAATTCTCACATTCCCTAATTCCCACATCCCCAAATTCCCATACCCCCAAATTTCCACATCTCCAAATTCCAACATTTCCAAATTCTCACACCCCCAAATTCCCACATTCCTAAATTTCCACACCACTTACTTCTCATATTCCCAAATTTCCATGTCCTCAAATTCCCACATTTCCAAATTCCCACATCCCTAAATTTACACACCCCCAAATTTCCACATCCTCCAATTCCCATTCCTTCAAATTTTCACATCTCCAATTCCCAATCTCCAAATTGCAATATTCTCTAATTCTCAAAATTCCAGTTTTCTAAATTCTCGAATTCTAAATCCCTCAAATTCTCATGTCCCAACTTTCCACACACCCAAATTCAAATCCCAAATTTTCACAGCTCTCTCTATTCCAAAATCCACATCCAAATATCTAAATTCTCAACACCCCAAAAATTCCCAAATTCCAAAATACCGACACTTTCCTTAAATTTCCAATAAGCCCAATACGTCCAAACACGTAAATTTCCAGAATCGCAAAATTTTCCTAAATCACTCTATCTCCGTATTTCCGAATCTATTTGACGTCCGAATACATTTGACGCACCCGCTCGGGGACATTGAAACGTCTGGTCGTTTCTCATCAAGTTCCCAGCCCCGAAGAAAGAAGTTCATTTAAGCCCCGCTTTCACTGGCCTTTGCGGGCTACGAAGTCTCGACGTGACGGTCGCGTCAAACGCCACGGGCTGTGGCCACGAAACGTCACGGGGGAAGCGGAAATCCGCGCGCTTCGTCGCGCGAGAACACGCCACTGTCAAGGACGCTGAAGGCCGCGCGCACTTTAGCTTCCTCGAGCGAAGATCAACGACCTGACCGTACGCAGAACCCGCGTCAAGGGTGGCACCAAGAACGCTTGGAAAAAAGAGGGTGGAAACGTGTTTCAGGAAGAAAAATTTTCACGATGACACGAAATTCAGATAACTTCGGATGAGTGGGCAAGAGATTTCTGCGTAATTGCGGAACACGGTATGATCCTTGAAATAGAAAGGTGGAGATGGATATTTTTATCTTATGTGGGGAGACCGTTTTTTACTTGAGTTGTAATCAAGATTAAAGTGAAGGTATTTTTAAATGGGGTGTTTCTTGAGAAAATATTGAGGGGTAATTATAAGATTGATGGTATTTAAGTTTGTGGTAAGGGGATGATTGTATGAGGTAATGGTTGATAATAAAAAATGAGTAAATCATTGAATTTGTAAAATGGAAATGATATAAAATATTAAATGGAGTAACTGAAAAGTGGAGACTTAAAAAAAAATTACCTATGCTGCAATATAACAGAACAATAAAATAGAATAATAATAATAGTAAAAGGGCAATAATCATTGGGTGAAAATTAAAGTATAATAAATTAGTAAAAAGGAAGAATCAAATATTGAGCCAGTAAAATAATAAAATAAACAATGTGACAGTATATGAAATAACAAAATAGTGTAGCAACAGAAGAATAATCCATCAAGTTAACAAAATAGTAAAATTGTAAATAAGCAAAATAAAATAGTAAATAAAATAGAAAATAAAATAGTAAATAAAATAGTAAATAAAATAGTAAATAAAATAGTAAATAAAATAGAAAATAAAATAGTAAATAAAATAGAAAATAAAATAGAAAATAAAATAGTAAATAAAATAATAAATAAAATAGTAAATAAAATAGTAAATAAAATAGTAAATAAAATAGTAAATAAAATAATAAATAAAATAGTAAATAAAATAGTAAATAAAATTACTAGAAAATAATAGTGTAACAGTAGAAGAATAATCCACCAAGTTAACAAAATAATAAAATAATAAATAAATAAAATAAAATACTAATTAAAATACTAAATAAAATAATAAATGGTAAAAAGTAGCAAAACAGTAAATCTATAAAATAGTAAAAAATTATTTAACACAAAAAACCAGCAGAATACCCCAAGAATTCTATTTAAATTTTCTCTGGCGAATAGGAAAGAAAATTGAATCGAAAATCATAAGAGCAGAGGCAAGGATATCGTGAAAATTCAGATCCGTTCTTGGAGCAACTTTTCTAAGGCGTATTGTGTGCTCCGGTGTCCCAGAAGGGTTAAGGGTACAAGTCGGATAGCGGAAGTTTTAAAGAGAGTTTGAAGCTTTCAAACTGTTACCCGGATATGTCTTTTTCCATTCATTTTTCCGTGCTAAACGCAATTCAAAGTTTCGCGGAATAAACGCGACGACGATGGCAACTTTTCACGAATTCCAATCCTTGCAAGTCAGGATGTTATCAAAAAAATATTAGTCGGATACAACGTTTTGCACTTAAAGTAAGATGGTTTGTTAATGCGGGATGAAGTTTCTGAAACATCGATTTAGAACTTTTATCGATGTTGGCAAAAGTGATAACTTATCGTTATCTGTTTTATTGCACCGTTAAATACCTGACTTTTACTACTACTTTCGTGTTTTCTTCATGTTTTGATCATTTAATATTTTTAATCAAATTTAATCAACACAAGTTCAACACAAGTTCAATACAAGTTCAGTACAATTCAACACAACTTTCAATTACACTTCTGTGTTTTTGATATGCACTTTTAATTCGTTAAAAAATTGTAAATTTTGAATAATTGAAGATTGAGTAAAATCGCAATGAGTCCCGATTTCCTTCGAAGTCCGCAAACAACTGTTGTTAAGAACGCACATATTTCCTTCCCTCGCAGACACCATTTTACTCTCTTATCACGCCGCTAAAATTATCTCCTGAATGGCTCGTAATCGGTGCTCGTTAAAACAGGGATACGAGATTACATCTCCGTGCCTTCGACATAAATTGAAGAACCTCGATGTTGGAACAACAGCATCAAATTAAGAAACGCACTAGGTCTCTTCTAACGACTATCAATTTAAAATCATTACACTCGAATCTTTAATCTTGTACAAGGTCCACGGGCCATAACTGTAATCTAAAAAAATTAATGGACGAGGGATGAATATTTCATTCGATTAAGTTAAATAAAAATTTGGCAAAGCTTTTGTGTATTCGTTATTGTTGAATCATTATTAAATTTGATGTTATGAATTGATTATTGGAATTGTTAGTATAAATCCATAATTGCATTCATTATTATAAATTTATTATTAATATTTGGTAGTAAGCTCATTATTGCTTATTCGGAATTATTATTATATTCGTAGTGTTATACTCATTAGTGTGTGGATTATTATGTTCATTGTTGTATGGACTCTTGTTAGAAGGCCAGAGATGGAGGTGCTAAACAATTTAAAAAGTTTTTTAATTCGGTTGGAAAATTTGGGATCTTGCAAATTTGTGAATTGGTAAATTGGGAAATTGGAAATTTGGGAAATTGGGAATTGGGATTTGGGAAATTGGAAATTTGGGAGATTGGTAAATTGGTAAATTGGGAAATTGGAAATTTGGGAGATTGGAAATTTGGAAGATTGGAAATTTGGAAGATTGGAAATTTGGGAGATTGGAAATTTGGGAGATTGGAAATTTGGGAAATTGGAAATTTGGGTGATGGGAAATTTGGGAAATTGGAAATTTGAAAGATGGGAAATTTGGGAGATGAAATTTGGGAAATTGGAAATTTGAGAGATGGGAAATTTGGGAGATAGGAAATTTGGGAAATTGGGAATTTGGGAGATTGGAAATTTGGAAGATTGGAAATTTGGAAGATTGGAAATTTGAGAGATGGGAAATTTGGGAGACAGGAAATTTGGAAAATTGGAAATTTGAGAGATGGAAAATTTGGGAGATAGGAAATTTGGGAAATTGGGAATTTGGGAGATGGGAAATTTGGGAAATTGGGAAATTAGAATTTGAGAAATTAGGAAATTAGAAAATTGGGAAACTGGAAATTTAGGTAATTGTCAAATTGATAAATTGGTAAACTCATAAACCACTAAATTCCTCGACTTCTAAATTCAAAACCGTAAAAACTTCAAATCTCGAAAACCTGCAACTTAAAAATATAAATTTAGAAGGCAGTAACTTGAAACCCAGCGATACAATAGCATTCTCTCCGCATCCCCGACTGCAACAACGCCACTGGTCGCGCACAAAAGCATTCGTCAAAGCGGCAATATAGCGAGAGCGTCCTGTACATCTCTTCATATTTCGCTTGCAGCTTTAATAGAAGATGTTAATGTAATATTTTAGAGAGAAGTTGTTGAAGGTTGTCATTTGCCGAGGAGTTCCAAGCGTGCTCGGTTTCGAGCAGTTTTAATCGTGAATGCTTCTTCGTCATTTCGAACGACTAGCAATGGTATTTCTAGACCCGAGGCCGACGCACTGTGGCCCAGTTTAGCGGCACTCGTCGTTTCTGGCCTACATCGAGACCCGTGTATTTACGCGCGATACGATTCGAGGCCGTGAAAACGTTCTCCGCTCGCGATTCGCGACAATGCGACAAACGCTAAATCGTTCCAGCGCGATTAACTCTTCCGTTGAATGATAGCCTCAAATTCATCGTGAAACCTTGCTGCGCCATTCATTTGTTTAACCTTTTATGGACAATCGCGTTCAATATTTAACACGTGGATTTCGGAGCTTAGATTTTTATTTCGTAAATCAATAGCTGACTACTGAAATATTTAAAAAGTTGTTTATGTCTTGCACTTTCTTGCTAAAAATATTTTATTTCACACTTTTACTACAGTCGCGACCGCCATTATGTTACCTTACAAAGACAGCTTAGGTTACGGCAGAGTGCTCTCGTATTATTCTTGTAATAACATGAAAAACTAATACGCTAAGAATATATGTTAAGCATATATTAAGTAATAAATTCATTAAATTCTTCAATATTAATTCATGTCTTAAATCATTAAATTTTGTAGAAAATATGAGGCAGGTTATTTATGAGGACGTATACATACGTCACTGGTTCTCAATTGACTGTAACAATGTATGTAATGCTTTCATAATGTTCTTCCAATAACATGTAAAATTATTATACAAAAATTATACGCGATTAAATAAATGAATTTATTAAATTCTTCAAGATTAATTGATGTCCTAACTGATCATAGGTTTTGTCACTGGTTCTCAAGTTACTCTAGCCATGTATTAGATTCTTTCATGAAATTCTTCTAATAATATATAAAATTGTTATACAAAAATTATATATGATTAACTAAATGAATTTATTAAATTCATCAAAATTAATTGATGTCCTAACTCATCATAGGGTTTTGTCAGTGGTTCTCAAGTAACTGCAACCATGTAATAGGTGCTTTCATAAAATTCTTCCAATAATACATACATGAAATAGTTATACAAAGATTGTAACTATGTAAATGAATTTATTAAATTTTTAAATATTAATTATCGTCCTGATTATAGGGTTTCGTAGAGGTTAATCGATTTACGAGGTCACCAGTTAATGGAGTATTATCATTTTTGAGCTAAGCGTGAGAGACTTGTCAAGGCTGAAAGATTGAAACATTATATAGATAGAGATAATTGTATTATAGTACGGAAGAATAATCTCGTTTCGCGAGACAATTGTGCAAGCTTTATCGAGGTTGAGAAATTGGATTAGACTACGGAAGAATTGTCGCACTTTCTGAGTAAACTGTCAGAGCTTTACCGAAGCAGTGAAATTGAATTATGAGACGAAAGGAGTATCACATTTTAAGTCAACTATAAGTTTTCCCTCAAGGTTTAGAAATTCAATTAGGATACCAAAGAATCTTCGCGATTTATAATTAACTCGTGACAGCTAAATTGACCGGAAATGAAAATTCGATACTTGGATATTTCTCTGCAAGACGTTCTATTTGTGCGCAATTCTGTCTTTGGTATTTGAGGAATACACTGTATGAAATATTACTTTGATGTACTGTGATGGAACTTTATATTGAGGAGGCATCAAACCGATGCAGAAATGGAACACTTATTGATCTTTAATAAATGTTATATCCCCAATTTCCCAATTTCCCAATTTCCCAATTTCCCAGCTTCCCAGTTTCCCAATTTCTCAATTTCCCAAATTTCCAATTACCCAATTTTCCAATTTTCCAATTTCTCAATTTCCCAACTTCCCAAATTTCCAATCTCCCAAATTTCCAATTTCTCAATTTACCGATCTCCCAAATTTCCTATTTCCAATTTCCCAAATTCCCAATTTCCCAAGTTTCAAATTTCCCAAATTCCCAATATCCCAAGTTTCCAATCTCCCAAATTTCCAATCTCCCAAATTTCCAATCTCCCAAATTTCCAATCTCACAAATTTCCAATCTTACAAATTTCCAATCTCACAAATTTCCCAATTTCTCATTTTCCCAATTTCCCAATTTCCCAATTTCCCAAATTTCCATTTTCCCAATTTCCCAATTTCCCGAATTCTCAATTCCCCAATTTCCAATATTTTCCCTACACCCCAAATTAACCCTCCAATCCCCTAACCTACATCTTCGACAGTTGCGTCACAGCTAGTCATTGCTATACTGTCAAACAAAGAAAATTGAACCGCCCCAAATTTTATCCCCCACAAATTGACATCAACCTCAATCGAATATAATTCTATCTCTCAACAGCGCCAATGTTATAACCAAAGATCGAAAATAAACGAACAAGAAATTTCGATCCCCATTTTGCCGATAGCTAACCGGCAAAAACAACATCCGAATCTCTAAAAAATCTGCAGAAGGCCGGCAAATACGTTCGAACAATCGAACGAAAGGGTAAATATTAGCACGAACGGATAAAAATTGCGATTCTCGTGAAAAATAAAAAAAAAAGACTGACCATGATGCAGCAGGAAAACCGTTTAATTCGAAAAAAACGTGGCTCGGTCGTGCAGCTTTTGAAGCGTGTTCACCTATCGGCTCGGCACAATGGCGCGAGTTGCAGAAGAGGCCTGGAATAGCGGACGATAACGGATTTCTACGATCTTTTTTATCGAACCGGACGTTTTCCCTGCGGCGCAGCAGGAGGCCGGGTTAAATTAAGTATGAACGGACATAAATAAACCCTTCACGGTATTTTTCGAAGCATCCGTGTTCTCCCGCTTTGTGCACACCATCGAGCTGTTTTATGCACGTGATACGTGTTTTGTCGCGGCTTTAGAGGAACGTGGAGCTACAGGCTCGAGGTTCTTGACCTCCTTGCAACGCGAATTTTCCTTTTCAAACTTTGATGTATCTTATTTGCAAGTCTAAAGAATTGTCAGGGGAATTTTGCTCGACAAAGCAGGCTGGGAAATTTTATTCGTGGAAAGGTATTGCTGACGTGGGCGATGGTGAGTTATTTCTTTTTGGAGGGAATATTTATGAGGGAGGGAAGTTCTAGGGTTGGTATCAATTTTATTGGTATTTTAGGTGTGTAAGTGTAAGTTTCATATTTCTGAATTCCCACATTCACCAATTCTATATCCCTCAATTCTTACATTCTCCAAATCCCACATTCTACAATTTCCACATTCCCCAATTCCCACATTTCCCAATTCCCACGTTTTACAATTTCCATCTTCCCTAATTCCCACATTCCCCAATTTCCACATTTCCCAATTCCCACATTCCTCAATTTCCACATTCCCCAATTCCCACATTCCTCAATTCCCACATTCCCCAATTTCCACATTCCTTAATTCCCACATTCCTCAATTCCCACATTCCCCAAGTCTCACATTTCCCAATTCCCACATTTAGCAATTCCCACATTCCCAATATTCCCACACCCCCAAATTTCCACATCTCCAAATTCTCACATCCCCAAATATCCACACCCCCAAATTTCCACATCCCCAATTCCCACATTCCCCAATTTCCACATCCCCAATTCCCACATTCCCCAATTTCCACATTTCTCAATTTCCACAGTTCCCAATTCCCACATTCCCCAATTCCCACATTCGCAATATTCCCACATCCCCAAATCTCCACATCCCCAAATTCTCACATCCCCAAATATCCACACCCCCAAATTTCCACATCCCCAATTCCCACATCCCTCAAATTGCAATATCCTCCAATTCTAAAAATTCCAGGTTTCCAAATTCTCGAATTCGAAATCCCCTAAATTCTCATGTTCGAAATTTCCACATCCTCTCATTCGTTCGTTCCCAAATTTCCACATCCCTAAATTTTCATATAGCATGTTATTTTATTCTTGTAATTGTTTTCTTCAATTTGGAGATCAGATTTTTTCTCCATTTCGAAAATTAATTTATTTGCCTTGAATCCGTGACTGAATTGCCGAAATCATCAACAACAAAATGTTAATAAAAATGATACAAAATTTATCTC